CCCCAAAACCCCAAAACCCCAAAACCCCATTAATGATTAAAGCCACAGATATTTTGAATTATAAAATAAGATAAATTTAATTAAATGGGAGGAATTGACCTATAAAGAAGGATAAAGACAGCGGGAATGCTGATTCCAGTAATATGGCTTGCAGCTATTTTGCCAGGTTCATGGTATATTGTCAATCTAGGTAACATCGTATACATTAATGATCAATAGGATTTCCACTGATGGTTATATTAGAGTTTAGTCACATGATGCAAAAGACACTTAATTATGTAGGAGAGACTTGCGATCAGACTTTCGTGCCACACAACCATTAACTAATTAATGTTATCAATGACAAGTATTGGAGCATAGCATATCTATTTTTGATTCATTTGTTTGCGTAACTACAGGACTCAGGAAAAATTCTTTTACTTCACTCTATGGTGATGATTGTGATTATTTTTGTCAAATTCTATCACTATAATCATTTCATGCATCGCAAAGACAAGTAATTGATTCATATCTTAGCTAATTAATAACTAGGAAATTAAGGGAGCTAATTGCCAATGAGCATTTCGTGAGACATGGATTAATCATCACATTCCTAAGCATTTTAATGGAAGTGTTTGGACAAGTTTACATTTCAGTGATTACTACTTTTGGATATTTCATATATTTCTCATAGTAACTATATCATTGTTAATTTATGCTAGACCTAAATTCATTGCTATTACATTTTGCCTTGCATGGCAAGCTGATAATGGTGGGTTATTCTTTGGAAGTGCATTCGGCTCTAGACCATTCGCTTAAAGTTTATCTCCCAAAAAGACAAGGGAAGGTATCATAGGCGCATTCTTCCTTTGCTTTGTTAGCTCACTATTGATGTGGGTTATAGCTCAGTAAAATATTTTTCTTAGTAATGTGCTTTAGTTACATCTCTGATTTCCTCTATGTGAAGATTGGCTTATTGGATTACGCTATTATTGGAGCAGTTAGCGGAGTACTAGCTGTTCTTAGTGATTTAACAGAGAGCTTTATGAAGAGGTGTGCTAATGTCAAGGTAAGCTAGATTTCCAATCCTTATATATACTAATATCCTAAATTTATTGTCTCAAAAGTATTGTTATTAACCATTTTTTACAGGATTCAAGTTCCTTTTTCCCTGGTCATGGTGGGTTCTTCGATAGATTAGACTCAATATTGCTTCCCTTAGTGTTTGTATACTGGTACATGAATACATACCTTAAATATACATTTATAACTAGTGATCTTTGAATTTAATTAGCGAATTAAATTATAATCTAACATGCAAACAATCAAACATTTAATTTATTTATAAAAAAGTCAATCTTGATAATGATCTTCCCCAAGACCTCTTTCTGATTCTCTATCAAATACGTTATATTGTAAATCTTCCTAAAAATGATCTTCGATCTTATTTTCGTTAGCTATCTTGACTGTTTATTCCTCAGTCTCTCTGTAGTTATTATCGAATCTCCCAAACGGGGAAGGGCTTCTATTCGCAGCATAAGTATGATTTAGATTAGCCCCTAAACCTCTACTCTTACGATTCTGATATTTTCTAAGCGTATTTAGTCTCTCGATGGATATTCTAACTTAGTTCGAGAAGATTTCTAGAATCTCTCTAGTGACCAAATCTAATTTAAATTCCCCAAAACTTCCTCCAAGTAGAGGGTTGCTAGATAGATAGTGTTTCATTTTAAATTCAACTTCTATACATCCCTCTACTCTTTGATCATCCTCTTAATTCATAATAGGCACACAAATTATAGGCTTAACCTAGCCATCCTAGTATAGTATATCAATGTTTGAATCATACTAAGGATATATCTAGGGCTCAGTTACTACTAATGTTTTCTTATTTTGGATTGAAATCTGAGCTAAACCTCTCATTGGTACATATGCTAGATGACCATCAGTATGCCTCTCAGTATTAGGCTGGTTATTCTGATTAACAAGTTGTAGTGTAGAATGTAAATTATAAGTTTACACTTGGTTAAAGTTGATTTAATCACTGCTTTCTATGTTTTTCAGTGATTCGTAATTTAATTTTATAAATATTTCCTCATCATGATCGATTATTAAGATAGTAGTGTTATCTGTTCCCATGATTTCAGATAGTCTTCTTTCTGCTTCATATAGCAAGCTTGCGTAATTTGATCTAGAGTTAAGATTAATACCAATCTTAAATAATCCTTTGTAAGCCTTGATCATCCGATTTTTAAGGTCAAAATCTCGCTCTCTATTAAGCATTCTTAAGCAAGTAGCACTAAGAATGTTAAGTATTTCATTATCATTAAGATTGAATTCTGGAATTTGTTCACCATCTTCAATGGTCTTAAAAGTTTGGGAATTTATAGCTAAGGCTATCCCTTATTTACCCAAGACCTGAAATCTATTAATGATTATACTTTCAATTTTATGAGAAGTTGGAATTTATAGCCTAAATTTGAACTAATCGTGATTTATTACTTGTGAAACATCTACATGGCCTATTTTTGTGATTTGATCCTTGAGAGCATTGATATCAAATTAAAATAATTCTTCCCATTTAATTTTAATCACATTGTCCCTTGTAAATTATATTAGTTCCTGAGTTGGGACATCAAGCATAAGGAAGAGAACTTTTTCACAATTTATTATCTATTCTGCCTTTCTCTGAAACTCTTCAAGAATTCTGAAGAAATTTAAAGATTTATCGCTCTTTAGTTAAATAGTTTACTAGTAATTAACCATCCTACTCAATTGCTTCAAATTATATACAGACTTCTCAAGATCATTTATCAGAGCATTTACATTTATCTCTATCTATTATTTTGATTAGCCTCTGCCACAGATTTCATTAAGAAGTCCATCCTTATTTATCATCAATTTAGACACTAAAAATAGGTTTAAAATTTGAGTATAACTTACTGTCTTAATCTTAGTATTTTAGGATTATACTTTATTTCATGATTAAACTCTAGTTATTTTAATTTTAGGTTTTTTACATATCTGTTAGCTTTAACTCATCCTCTTAAACTAATTCAATTTAGGCATCTAAAAGATCTCCATTCAATAACAAATCATTTTTGTTATTTAAAATTTCTAGCAACTCTTAATCCTACCCATTATTATCATTATTCATGTTCAAGTGTCTTGATACTTAAAGTTCTTAAGACTAACTTCTTTAGATGTTCAAGGTTTAAGATCTTTCAATATCGGGATCTGAATCATTAAGATCTTACTCATTCCCTAAAATGCTCTTTGATTTATTTTTGTTAGATTTCTTTGAATAGCCTCGAAGTTTACTGCTTCTCCCACTTTTATATTAGGGCTTTGCTGAAGATATTCTACTTCTTGAGGATACTTATTATTTTTCTTAATCATCTTCATAAAGGTAGTCTCTATTCTTAATACTGGAAGAAGTGCATCTCAACAACAATCTATGAGATCTTTAAAAAAGAGCATCCTCTAACTTCAGTATCTTTGCTCTCTATTCCCTTACTTTTTTCTCCAAAAAATTTATCCTTAAATGCTATTTGTCAACTTCATCAATTAGCATCTTAATCATGAGATCTTTTGGTGAATGCTTGACAGGCTTCTAATTATTTTTGTATTCCTCAATCTCTTTTTTCAGGAAGTATTGCATCTTTACACTATCCGATGTTTCTTACTAAAGCTTCTTATACTTAGGTCCATGATAAAACTAAGGTAGCAACACATTTTTATTTTAATCTTAATTAACGACTTATCCAGGATTAAATAACATCCCATTCCAAAACCGGACAGCTGTACCGTTTAGATTTGAATTCTTAAGTAGGATTTGCTCCTTACCAAAGAGAGTGGATGTTTATGTGACATTCCAATTTTATCCTTAGTGTATACTTCCCTGGCTGCTTTTTAGTTTTCTATCATGATGATTAGACTATGTCCATTGACTAGTTTGCAGGGTGTTATTAATATTATTATTACTATTCTTATGGGATTGAGTGAAATTTGTGTTACTTTTAGATAACTGATTTTGAGATTTTAAGCTTAATGAGTTTTGCTTTATAGGCTCAATGTTTATCTTTGCTCTTCCTATATTGCTAAACTATACATCCATTCCAGCAGTTTTGGTTCTTCTATCTTGGCTTTCACTAAATTAGTTACTCTGAGAGAAGGTATCATCAAACTATTTCAGAGTGCTGAACTCTTAGTTGGCATTCTCAGGAGTGAATTACTTGGTCTGAGCTATAATAACTGAATCAGTGATATCTTCATCTTCTATCTTCTCAATTATTTTAGATGTGGACCTCTTGATTCTAAAAGACTTTTGTTTAGACTCAGTACGATGCTTTTAAGGAGTTTCTTAAAATAAGCTTATTTCTGATTTGCTATTAACTAAATTTCTTTGTCCATTATTACTGCCTCCTCCCACGCTGTTTTTATACTAATTGTAATATTATTTTTCGTTTTTAAGTTTGACTTTTCTCTTTTTCATTGATTTCTAGTTGCTTATTTCACTTTCAGCGTGGGACGATAGAAATTTCGACTTTACTAGATACTGTGAGCTAGCTTATGTCTTTTGCATAGGATTTAAAGATTCCAAGAGAGAGTTTTAAGAGGAGGATTAAATGAGTAAATGCTTATCTTATTTTGCTTGCATTTTTATATTTTGCTTTTATTATTGTTATAAACTAAAAATATAAGTCTCATGGGGTTTTGGGGTTTTGGGGTTTTGGGG